CAAAGAGTTGCACATGTTGACCGCGAGTGATCGTGATTAGAGGAGGAGGTTGTTTGTCCCCCTCCGAGGGGGAGAGGGGTTTCACCCTCCGACGCATGAAATGATATATCGGCGGACGTGTCAGCATCTGCGTCGTGGCCGGAGGATACGTTGGCGCGTAATCGTAGGATCTGCAGAGGTCACCGCGCCTCTAACGAGTCTTAATGAACGGGCGTGAGAGCGTGAGAGGGCCGCGGCGAGGCGAGCTGCCCGATCTTAATTCCGCGATAGATGAAAAGAAAGGGAAACGACACGCCTTCGGTTTCGCGGAATGGAACGTTCTCGTGGAAATTTGAAAGAGGGAGGGAGGGACGTCTTCCATTTCTTAAAATGGCACGCCAACAATATAATATTCTCTGGAGGAGAGAGAGAGAGAGAGAGAGAGAGAGAGAGAGAGAGAGAGAGAGAGAGAGAGAGAATGGTCGAACAACAACGTTGGAAGAAGAAGCAAAGGACTGAAGTGAGCGGTAAAAGATTAGATGAGAGGGGAAGGGGGGGACTAATTACTAGTAATTTGTAAACGATTTTCGAGTGTGTAAAGGATTATACCGTGAAGGACGCGACCATTATCGAAAACCATCTGCATTTCGACAGTAATTACCTGGTTGGAGTTGAAAACGCAGAACGATTTCTGAAAGTTTATCGCCGATTTTATTGAAAGTATATAAGGGGCTATATATATCCGGAGTTGGGATCAGATGGTGGCAAATATTCAGGCGGGTCGATTAAGTTTTTTTCTTCTTTTTTTTTACTACTAAGCTAATCGAATTGGGTAATAATCGATTGTCGAAACGATCGAGAGTCGTTAATGACGGTCCCTGGCGAGAGAGGTCGGACCTTTTAAAATTCTATACGCTCTGAATAGGGTGAGGGGGAGGATCGTTAAATGTGTATCGGTATATTCGAGGTTGGAGACATAAGTTGGATGGGCTGCAGCTTCGATTAAAAGTTATATTTTAATTTTATTGAAAAAAGTTTAAACGTTACGTTGTACGATTAGTAGTCGGTTTCGAAGAGAGCTCGTTTCAAATTAATTACCAATAAAAATGCAAATTAACTATTTTTATCGAGGACAGGTGCATAGAAGGAAAATGTAATTACACGTGATGTAATTACAGTCGAATTATTCGATATTGAGCTACGAGAAAAAAAAAAAAAAAAAAAAAAAAAAAAGGAAAAAATCGCTTCTGTCGCTGTAGAAAAGAGAAAGAGATTACGTAAACCTTTTCGCGCCCGGATGCAGCTCGCGTGCGAGGGGTTCAGTTTTTTTCAGATAGCGAACGAAGATAAATTGCATTCTCTACCCGTATCTATCGCTGAAAGTTTCGTGATTAATGGAACAAATAAAGAACGGAAGGGAACAAAAAAAAAGAAAAAAAAAAAAAAAGAAGCGATGTTATAGAAATCATTCGAAGAACGAAAAAGTAATTACATCGATTGATTCCTGATTCATGATTAACCATAATAACCAGATTTCTTTTCTAAAAAAGAAAAAAAAAAGAAAAAAAAACGAAAAGAGAAAACGAAAGAAAAAAAGAAAGAAGAAAAAAAGAAGAGTATAGTGGAGAAGGGCTTTGGAGTAATTCTTTGAGGAAAAAAAGAAGGGCCATTTCCCCAGCTTCCGGCATTTTCTCGTTAACACGGTTCGAGGGATCCCATTGACACGCGAAATTCGCCATGGCAACACGCCCCTCTTGCCTTCTCCTCGCTCTTTCTCTCTTGCTCTCCCTTTATATTCACTCCCTCCACCGTGCGAATCGACACCACAGCTCGACACTCAGACACGAGGCGTCCGATTTAAAGGAAGTTTGACAAGCGACCGAGGATTTTTCTCCTCGGTCAAACAAAGAGTTCGATTTCACTCGATCCGGCTAACTCGAAAGCGAGGAGGCGATGCGAAAATGGGAAGGGGGATAAAGGAGATAGCGATGATAGACGAGATGAAAGAAGAAAGGGAGAGGAAGAGCAAAAAGAAAATTACATCAGCTGCTCGGCTCCTCGGAGAAGATCTCCTTTCCACCCTTGTGCGTCTTCGTTCTCCCTTCCCCAACACTACACTACACCACAACAGAGTCCAGCTTCTTCCACGAAATTCAACCTTGTTGCCCTTTTGCTTCCTTCCAGGAACCCTCCTCTTCTCCCCTCCACGTTTTCGACGTCAACCTACACGATTAACGATTGCACGCCTACCAGACCCGCACGACCGGATGGCAAAACGAATGCGAGAAAGCATAGACGCCGCGGATGAATTGCCTTGTGTGCATCGTCGCCGTCGCGGATATATGAAATTCTATTGCCGCGAGAGGGGGGACGTAGGACCGTGTGGCTCGCACGCTGGAAAAGCAGAAATTGCCAATCGGATGAGATTTTTCCACGTTCGATTCGACGACGGATCTCCACCGATGAATTGGACGGAATGAAGAATTGACTTTCCACGACGAGTGGAATACTTCGAATACTATAATTTTTAATTCCGTTTTTTGTTCCTCCTCGCGATGAGTGAAATTTATAATAAGGGTATTCGATGTCAGATTCTTTGAATTGCTCTTCCCCCTCTCTTTTTTAAAATAATTTTGTGTATGTAATCATGATTGTTTTTGAAAATATATTTTTGTCGTATGAATCAAAAGGGAATAGGGAAATTTGAGTGTAAAATTTAAAACGGAAATAAAACTTTGGCATTCTTGAGGATTACGAGCCATATGGTTGGAAATTCGTATTTTAAATCATTGTAGATATTAAAGATTTGCTTCGAGTTGTTACTACCAAAAAGTTATAGCAATAACTTATTGGATGAAAAAAATTCATATATCAGACACTAGAGTATATCGTAATATTTTGCATATCGGATGGCATGTACAATGTACAGTCAGAAGTTGGAATTTATGTTTCGAGAACGAGGATTCGGGACGGAGGACTCGTGTCCTCTGTCCGCAAGAAACATCTGCTACTGGCATAGCAGATCGCTGACGAAGAATGGAAAGACCAGTCTTACACTGCACAGTCACTTTCGAAAACGCTTTATGGAGCTTTGTGTAGTCTGATCTACAATAAACTTCACGGTTTTTCGAGGATGGATAAAAAGAAAGAAATACGAGTGAAGAAGAATTTTATGAAATGCTATTCTATTAACGATTTATAAATGTCGTCTAGTCTTTTGAAAAAATGCTAAAAATTTTCGAAATTCTATATTCAAGAAAATTTCTAATCATTTGTTGAAAATATTGAAGTATATGTGAAAAATGAGTTTCGAATATTTTGTTTTGATAATTAAAAGATTAAATTTAAAGAATTATATATGTTTTAATTTACTCAATGAACGATTACTTTTCATAAAATTCAACTGCAGTATAAACATATTAATATTGCTTCTAGAGAATTACAAGGAAGTAGGGATAGAATTATAATTCTATCCTAGAAGAGAGGTTAGATGAGAGGAAGTGAAACAAATTTGCAACCCAGGTGCAACGCAGGTGGATTTCACTTTCGATGGCAACGAGATCGATGCAACATCGTGGAAAAGGAAAAACTCGTGCCAAGTAAACAGGAAGTTCCGTTATGACAATGTAAAGGATAAGGGAGATGGAATAACGAGTTACCATTGAAAGACATCTTTGAAAAATTCAAAACTACTTGTCTATTGACGAAAAACTTAAAAAATAAAAGTTTTCCATAAAAAAAAAAATAAATTTTGATACAAATTAGACATTTATACATAATAAAATAATAAATTAAAAAAAGGAAATTTATCTCGATATAATTACCAAAGGGTCTATTATTATGACCTATAACATTTATTATCCATTAAAATATCGTAAAATTTATTACGAGTTTTAAAAGCGAATGGCATTACTCCACGTATATGTACAGTTATCGAACTAATTATTATATTTTATCTGGAAACTCTTCGAGTTGAAAGAACTCTGACTATAGCTAATACCGGTTTTCAGTGAATGGTTGTTCTCTAATGTATATATAAATACTATCGATGTAGGTTTCGAAATATCGGCGATTTCGCTTGAATGAACGATTCATTATCATTTCCAGCGAAATACAATTCTATGTTTACAATGTTCACGAACGATATAAAAGCGTGAAAAGATATAGGGATTGTATAGAAGGAATTAAAAAACATGCGTCGTGGCGTATGTTTGTTGAACGCATGAAATATAGTCGAACGTGTCCCGTTCGAAATGATAAACTGCGGTCTTTCGAATGATCGGCTATTGGCCTATCGATGGATATGAATCAATCAGTTAACGAAGTAATCGATCCCTTGTTTTATTGTCATCGATACTCCCGCGATACGAACGGTGACAAGATTCAAAACGATCGTCAACATCGATTCGCGATATTCTCTTGTTTAACGTAACGTGAGCGTCTATTGTCAATGGAAGCTTACCGACTGACTCCTACCATTTGCTTGCTTTAAAAACTACCCATCACCCTATATAAGTATTTAATACGCGTTCGATCGTAACAGATAATTCATTCCGAAATTTAAAATCAACGTACGTTAAAAGAATACGTATTGACGAGAAAGAGATAATTTTTTATTTCCGATAAACGAGAAACATAAACACGTTGTTACTTGAAAAAGAGATCCTCATATACGCAGAAAATTGCTACTGACACAATGGTGGTGGACAACAAATAACAAAGGTGAATCGTTAACCTTCGTTTAATCCGTGGTAACTGTGATCCGGACAACGAGAGCAGCTGTTCCGAAAGTACGGACGAGTTTCGAGGCCGAGTCGGCCTCGATCGAAAGTAAAAGCATGTAACCGTAACCGGTATCGGCGCGACGAAACCACGGTATTTATAATCACGTTACAGCTTGGTTATGGGGATCTCTTTTTACGTCGCGACACGATGGCAGCGGTGGCGGTGGTCGCGAAAATAAGTACGAAAGAGTCATGTCGCCTAACCTATCGCGCGTTTTTTGTTCTTTGTTCACTCACCTAGCGGGATGCGTAGAGCCGGCCAGCTCCAAAGCCAGACAGAGAAACGTGTAGCCAGTCCTCACGAGCGTGTAAAATCCCGTATGCTTCTTCTTCTTCCACCACTGTATTCGCACCGACGAGAAAGACGCACGCTCCACGCAAGCCGGTCGAGAAAAGAACAGCGACAGCAGCGGCGGCAGCGGCTGCAGCCGAACTGAAACGATGTACTTTTTTTCTCTCTATCTCTCGGTGTCTCGTTCGACCGGCCTTGTTGCGAGCACGCACGGGTTAGCGTAAAAATTCGTGAGGGTGAAAAAAATGAAAAAATAAGAGAACTACACCACCAGCGACGACAAACGAGGACGACGAGCACCGCGACGATCCGCGTAGGCGCTGGGCGCGTACTGTGCCGAACGAACGAAAGCAGTATGGCGCCCGGCGGCTTTCCTGCTGCGCGCTCGCTCCTCTTTGTCCCCTTCCACGCGCATCTATCCCGCTCTTACCGTGCTATTGGCGAGCCTTTTCTCTATCTCTCTCTATCTCCGTCCGATACACGACTGGTTTATGGATCGTTTGACTTTGTCTCTCAGCAAGCGCCCACCACGTTATCCCTAGTGATGGGCATTTGAATAGTTGCCTCGTAAATTTTCAAATGCCACAGTTTTATGAAGGTTTGAATTATATTATTGTTGTTGGGATTAGAAGAAATTATTCCAAATTTATTTACGAAATATTATGAATTGACATCGATCGTAGTATTCGTCATCATTTTAAACATTATTATCTTAAGTTCTGGAGAAATATAATCACGTATCATAAAATATTCGTACTTTAACGCATTTTCCATTGCAAATCAACTGTTTTGAACAAATTCCTGTTTAAATTCTCATCGCATAATGAAACTAATTCGATGTTTCTCAAATCCATCACTATTTACGGAGCTTCTTTCTTTCTTTCGTATTAATCCATTGCACTTCCTATCTCTCTCTCTCTCTCTCTCTTTTTCTCCATGCCACTGAGCTACTCTGTCTTCGTCATCATTCCCCAGCACTTTCTCTCTTTTTACTATTGCTAACAGATTCATCCTCCTTCAACCAATTTTAGTTATATTAAATTTCATCCTCGTCTCTCCAGCACCGAATATATCGAACGTCTTCCTTTCACGTTATCTCCATCCTCTTTTCACCTTCCCCTTCCAACTCGTCGCCCATAGCTCCCCACTGCATAGCCTGTCTGGAGGTGGAGGAGTGGGAACAGACAGCGACGAACGTGTAGGACGGAGATGAACGAAGATACTTTCCGTTAGTGCCGCCGGTTACCAGCCAATCAGAGTGCAGCAAGAGCAGTGTCCCCTACGAGGTCGCGCGACCAGACGCCTCGCTTTCCCCAAGAGAACGCGGCAGCGTGGGTGACAGAGAGATGAGATTAAAATTAGATCGATTGTCTTTAATAACTTGCACCGGCGCCTATCGCGCCGGCCGGTGTTTCGTATTAACGAAATGCAACAGTTAGGACCGAGTCCGTTATATCATCGTGATCGATCATCAACGTCGTGTCTATCTTTATCTCGTCCACGCGATAAAACGAAGATGCACGATAATTTTCGAGGAGAGAAAGTACGAGAAAAAGGTGTGAATAAAAATTAACGATACGATGCTACTTCGTGTAATATGTCTATAAGGAATTTAATAAAGATGATAGATCTTAGTATTCACGAAATTTGAAATTAAATATAAATTCGATTCATATGAATACATTTTTATTTTTAACTTCCTCCTTATGCAAATTTAACGCTTCGCGTTTATCTTTGAACGTAGGATGAGCCTTTACGTGTATTGGAAAAAATTTTAAGTAAGCGTTTTTTAAAAATGGATATTTGCATCGAAGAGGGAAAATCTCGCGGAATGGATCGGTTGAAGGAACGCGAAGTAGGCGTTCAGAGGAACACGTGGGCATTCGTGTGATGCAGAAAATGCCAGGGAAACAACCAGGGGAACGTAGCACGATAGATGATTCATTATATTGCTTATGGAATATTAACGAAAATGAAAGAAGGGAGAAAAAAAAACATATCAAATCTATTCGTAGGAACGCCTTTGAATGGACGCCTACGATACTCGTAAATATTTCATGAATATCCAAGGGAGAAAAAAAAAAAAATAAATCAAAATATAACGTCGATATAAATATAATTTTACTTTTAATCACAGTTAAACGAGGCATAGTGTTGCCTTAAAATACTCGCAACTAATATTATTAAGTTTTATTACACGATCGCTTAATCGTATCGTCAGAATTAATTCAATTATCGATCGTGGCGCGATAACGATTATCGATTTTCTTCGACGCCTCGCCCAAGGAAAATCGTCTCTTTTAACGAAGCTTTTAATACAGGCATACGTGCAAAAGTTGCGCTTCATTTCCTCGAATATTTCAACGGGACACGGCGATTGCACGGAAGTTGCGCCGGAATATTGATTTCGTTCGAGTGACTGTCTCGACAAACCGATATTTGCTTAATTTGTCAACGTGTTCGAACCTTAATCAATCCTTAACCCTGCAATTTTATTTTTTCGTTACGTCAATTTGGATTTGGAAACTAGTATACAAAAAAATTCTGAACAGATTCGTTGCGTGTACATATTTTTCTTTCCCGTTAATACAGTTTCGATTTTCACGTCGAATTTTATATAAATTCGAAATAATTCGCAATAGACGTTCAAATGAAAGTTATATCGACGACACAACGAAAATTGATTACAATAAAATTCCGGAATGGAACGAGAGGACGGCAGGATTAAATCTGGAACAAGGTTGGCTAAATTAAAGTCCCAAATCGTTTCGAAAATCCGATGGAAAATTCCCCAGCAGAAGGGAACGATTTATTTGCCCGCAATTTTCTTTCCTTCCTTCCTTCCTTCCTTCCTTTCTTCTTTCTCTGGAGGAACAACTTTCGCGTTTAAAGCGGCCACGATGGAACGTTTCGCCGTGGAGCGCAGGAATCCGATAACGTCGGAGAAGTTGCCGTGTTCCCAGGAGTTTCGATCACGGAAACGTGGCCCACCGTCCGCGAAACAAACCTGTGCGGAGGAGGACGCGAGCTCGTCCACGAACGTCCAAGATAAAGGGTAACAACGTTCGTAGCCTCTTCAATTTCGTCGCGCGAATCACGGAAGGAAAAGATTACGTGAAACGAGCGCCCGGGGAGCACAAATCCTCGAGTTCCACCTTTTGAATCTTTTATTTAACAACTCGAGTTGCATCCTCCTGTGGAGGAGAGATAGCGGAAGGAGGATAAGAGGAGAGAGAGAGAGACAAGTCTCGCGAGAAAATGGATGGAAGACAGGGGTTCGAAGAAGAGGAGGAGGAGGAGGAGGAAGAGAGTTCCTGGTCACACTGGATGAGGAGCAATATCGTTGAGGAGAATTTGAAATCGGGGCTAATAGAAAGGAAGGAGGAACGAACGAAATAAGAGGCGGTCCATGGGGATGGACGGTCCCCTTTCATCTCCATGGACGCAGACCCTCAGTGATCCTCAACCCTGACAGCCCGGTTCCCGTAATTACATGGAAATCCGGTTGGATGATTCCTGTTGGTTCGAGCGTGGACGTGACGGCGATGCCTCTCGAGTAAACATAGCCTCGAGCCAGCTCGACGACGACGACGAACATAGCAATAATAATATTATTCTTAATTTCGCGATACGACGTAATTACGGACGAATGGAATGATTACTGTCGATCGATGGCTCTATAGAAAAAATAAGAGACGTTAAATTAGACGAATGATTTCTGCTTCTGTGCACCCGATCCAGTTGTAGAACTGGAAAAGTCGAGTTTCGTTCCTTTCGTTTTCTTCGCTCGTTTTTTTCTTTTTTCTTTTTCTTCCTTTCTGGTTATTATTGATGGTATAAGTAGGTCTACACAAGTTGGATATATAGTTATTTATGCAAAAATTACAGCAGTGTATTTATGGGAACGATAACACGGTACAGGATAGTTTTATTTCTCGATTCTCGAAATGCGATAAATAAGTTAATCGGCCGTTCCACTTGTATGTATTTTTTTTTGTATGTAACCGAATTAATCTCTCCAATCACTCTTTTTCGTAACATAAACCTACATAAATTGTCACGATTGTTTTAACTTGAAACGTATTGTTGTAAAAATTCTAATCTATGATTCAAAGATAAGTACACGGATAAGTATCTTGGAAGTAGTTCCAGCAAAATGTCATCGTAAATGAGAAATCGTCGAAAATCGGCCGTGACCGCGACATTAATCGACTAGCGAGCGTCATAAACGCGTGCAGCGACCACAGGTAACCGCAGCCAATAATTTCTGCAGTTTATCTAGTTGAAACATCGCGATGTGGAACATCATTTCCATTTACTTTTTTAATGCTCGAACGATTGAAAAAGTCTTTAGGCTATCTTGCCCAGTAATAGTCTTGAGGCCCGGTGATCTAGAGATCTAGTTGTTAGCAGTTTTTAGATGCCTTAGTAAGTAGTCTAAAGATCTAGTAATTCTGAGATCCAGAGACTCAATGGTCTTAGTAATCTGCCCAATAATCAACTTGTCCATTAGTTCGAAGATCTTGAGATCCAATAGTCTTAAAAAATCATTAGTGATCCTGAGATCTAGGAATGTTACCAAATTTGTAAATTGAATAATGATAATCGAAGTCTGTGGCACTTTTTCTTAACTTTTTCTTAGTAAAGTGAAACCATTGCTCGAATCACAATACAAGTTTCCACGGAACAGAATCGAAAGTTTAGCTTCGGAATCCCAGGAGGGCGAGTCCTCGAATTCTCGTCATTTCGCTCGCATCGCTTTATTTTCTCCATTTCATTCCTCTTTCCCTCGAGCGGATTTAAAACGCGACACGTATTCCGTCCAAGGAGAATGTTTCGCCTTCAAGATTCTAGGTTTCTGGATTATTCAACAATCCCTTTCCCCATCCACTCATCTTCGAGCATCTTTTCATTTCTTTTTTCGCGGAAACGTTTCATCCTTTCAAGAATGTTTGCCCCAAATAAATTTAACTCGTTGTCGAAACAACTTTGTTTTCCTATTTTCGCGTTTCATATTTTCGAAATCTCCATCACATTCGCTCGTCGATTGAAAAAACGATCGAAAATCGAGAATCAATCAATTTGCGATTTGATTAAAAATTGAAAGAAAAATTGAGCGAATCGATTTACGCATCGTTCAATTCTTTTCGATGGCGATTCTTTTCAATGTATTTTGAAAAATGTCGTTTGATAAAATTTTTAAGGAACGTACGAAATAAATCGCGACTCGATCGATGAAGAGATTTCCCAGAGATTTGTTCCTTTTATCCTATCGTTTACTTAATTTCAAAAAAGAAAAATGGCGTATCAATTTTTCAAAAGAAAGTTGGA